GAAAATGGTGAAGGAACACTTCAATTATTTAATTATTACTTCTGATGGAGTATTTTAAAGGATGAACGATTCCTATATCAATATTGTTGATCGACGACTTATTTAAATAATTAAGAGAATTGTTGATCATGTTATGTGTCATTGCGTAATCCAGTGTTTTATAATATGTATATCCTAATTTATTAATAAGTCATCAGTAGTTATTGGGAAAATCCACAGATATTTCAGAATTAATTTTGTAACAGGAGTACTTTTTTAGCAAAAGTAATTATTCTTTATGAGTGTATCCAGTGCAATTATATATATTTTTACGTATGCAATTTATTTCTTCGTTCAACGTGTTCAAAGTATAATTGATAATGATCATTTGAATCCTACTCTTTAACTCTTTCAAAGTTACTAAAAGAAATTTTTAAAAATTTTAATTTATTGAGATTTTTAAAATTATTTAAGATTTTTTAAATTTTAATTTTTTAAGATAGTAAGTTCCTGATATTCGTAGACTCTTCACAAACGAATCGTCCATTTCAATGTTTCGGTACTCGAGACTCGAGACTATTAAAAATTCTAGTGCGTACGGTATCAATACTTTTGCTTAAATGCTGTTTAATTTTTGCATGATAACGATACCAGTAGCGACAACGAAATCCAAACAGTGAGAACTACTTTTAAACGAATATAAAAGTGAACGTTTCTTGTGCAGCACTTTCAGCGTCCAAGACGACTATACCAAAGACAATCCTCTGCTGAAAATGATCTGTTTAAAACTGACTCGCAACATCAGCTTGAGACTTTCGAACCGAAGGGACATTTGCCTACAATTCTTTGCTGCTGGGAAAAATATCAGGTATTAGAAACGAGGCAAGAATGATTTAGAATTTCGTTAACATATTGACAAATTCGCTTACAGAATAGAGATAGGCACGGTCCTGAATTTTGAGAAAAAAGTGGCATCGCACTTCGTAGACACGAGCCTGCGCGACGGCATATTAAAGTAAGATTATATCAACCACCACTAAGTATTGGAATAATTCAACCGTTCGAATTGTACCAATTTTCTTCTGGAAAAAAAACGCTAGATGCAAATACGATGACCTGTTGAAGACCGACGTCAAACCGGAAGACAGTTTGTACGATTTAGTGAAAAAATTACGGGAAGTCAGGAGATCAGCCAGACATCGTACATTTATGATTGCGAAATATAAACCGCATATGCCGTTGCAAAAACCTACAACAAACAGATGTCGTTTGTAACAATAAAGGAAATTATATTAACTACCATCGATCAACGCCTGTTTTTGCGTGAAAATAAGATTCTTTATCTTATTTGTTACTAATGCTTTCGACTACTTCAGAAACATCTGTTCGAACAAACATGATGATGTTCAGTACTGAAGTTCAACTATTCAGTTTTTTGCGTCACTCAAATACAGAGTGGCCATTAACTGGTGACAAAACCGAGAGAAAAGATATTCCCATGCAAAAACAAGTCGAAAAAAAGAAATAACATTTTTTCGTTTAAGGCTGAGTTTTCTAGAGAAATTAGTGATTAGTGAAATGGTATGTATGGACGTGTCAATTTATTTCTATTTACAGTAATTTCACCCTAATTCGCACTCAGATTGCTTATTTTATTTATTATTCGAGCCTTGCGACTCGTTTTTATAATTGTTGACAATCGGTAACTATAAAAACGAGTCGCAAGGAATAATCGTATCTCCTCTTCTCAAATTGTCAATTTTTATGCGCAATTTGAGCGCGAATTAGGAATAAACTACTGTATTAGTTTTCAAACTGATTTTTCTCGAGAACGGAGCCTTGAATGAAAGAATATCATTCTACATTTTTGCTTCATTTCTGTACGTAGAACCACCCTTGTTCCGGTTGTACCACCACTTACCGACCACCCGGTACAATTTCGGTGATCTTATTTTCGATAGAGGTGTTTTCAAATTGCATCGAAGAAGCAGTCGATAGTTACAAGAAGGAAAAGACTGTTCTAGAAAAGCCTTCAAGGCTTCGATCATAGTGCAAAAATTATGAAAATATCGTTGACACATTTGTCAACGTTTGTTTCCTTCTCGCGATCTCTTTCATGAAAACGAACACCGCGATCTTCCTCGAGCAGAGAGGAATCACGAGTGACCAATAGGACGTCGAAGGTATTGAAGAAGAGGAACGCCGGATTGTATAAATAAAAATGAATATGTAATTAAAATAATTGTCAGAGATAATGAAATCTTGCATTAACGTATACATTCCTCGTACCAGTGTAACAATGTATACAATTATAGCTCGCGCACGTACGCGTCTCGATGTATACGGATCCGCTGTCTGATCGCGTCTCCATCACGTATCCTCCGTATATGTGTTACATGTGTTTACGTGTGTGCTTCAGACACATACTTAAGATTCCCCGGGGTTTCGGGGAATAATGTTTCCTTGAAAATCTTACAGGCTAGTTCGCAGGATGACAGGGACAGAGGACGAGAAAGTGGTTCAGGGTGCGTGGAAATAAATAAAAGAAACACGAAGGAAGAAGGGAAAGGAGAAACGAAAAGGAAGAATAGAATAACTTAAATTTTGACGAATAAATTATGGTTAGATCGCGTTCGAAAGTAAAATGGAGCATGGAGTTAGAACGAGCGTAACAAAAGTGAACAACAGAAAATAATACAAACGAAATAAAAACATAGAGAACAAAGAGCACAATAAATAAGGTCGCTTCGCGAGCGCATGAAGAACCGACCAGGAGCACCGTTGGACGTCGCGACGTCGTGTGCCGCGACGTCCGTCGTCGCGACGGTCTTTCCAAACGCGACAGACCGGCCGCGACGGCGACGGGGCTGATGGCCACGTGGCATGAGGTAAAACGAAGTTTGGAGAACGAAAGGTATAAAGAGGAATGCCGTTCGGAGTGTACGAAAACATATAAATAAACGCGCTTCGCTGATCGAGGACGCGGGCTCCCGGAGGAACCCGCTGGTCTTGAGAAGGGCCGTCTGACTACTTCCGACTTATTTACAATGCCCCCCGAGACTACTCTGGCCGACCATCGACGAACACCAGCCGCCGTAGCACGCTGCGACGTGCTCCCGCCGCCTGATTATGCTACTCTTCGGATCCGTCGCGGTCGCAACGTGCCATCGAAACGCGTCGGAGAACGTTCCACCGCTGCCCGGACTTCGGAAAACCGGCGTCGACGCGATCGACTCTCGCGGCAGGACTAATTTCCTGACGAAACTCGGGAACTACTATGGTCTGCTCGACGGGTCGGGTCACCAGGGATCAACGGTGTACCGATCCGGCATACGTCTCCGTTAAATCTGCCTGTTTTGCTCTGGACAATCCTGACCGCCGTTTCTTCGCTCGCGGACATTCGAACCAACGAACTACAAGATATAGCTAGGGAACTGTTCTTTGAAGTGTCTCGAAGTTGACGGTTACAGTGGCGCAATTTTCGTAGAATTTCGATCAACGGCGATACTTGTTCATCTTGGAGCAACACATTGACACATTATAGCTGGCAGCTATTTGTGTCGGCTGCGAATAGTCCTTCGCTCGTAGACGTTCAAGCTAACGATAACGGAAGAACATAGCTAGAGTATAATTCTACAATCTTTCTCGCGATAGATAGTTAAACTGCTTTGATTTTCGTAGGACCTAGGTCAATGGGCTGAACTTGTTCATCTTTTAGCAGCATATATTCAAAGCGGTAGCTATTTGTGTTGGCTCCATATAGCCCCGAGTGTAATCTTTTAGCTTGTAGACACTCGTGCCAACAAATTACCAGAGGAGGACATAACTAGAGTACGATTCTTCAAGCTAACGATAACGGAAGAACATAGCTAGAGTATAATTCTGCAATCTTTCTCGCGATAGATAGTTGGCTCCACATAGCCCTGAGTGTAATCTTTTAACCTGTAGACACTCGTGCCAACAAATTACCAGAGAAGGACATAACTAGAGTACGATTCTTTAAATTCACTCGGGAACCAATAGTCGTCGGATTCAAGTTTCGCAGGGCCTGGACCAATGACGAAACGTGTTCATCTTGTAGAAACACTTTTAAAACTGCTAATTGTTGACGTTGGCTCCGAATAATCTTGGATGCCGGTTTCCAAGTCACATAGATCAAAGCCAACAGATTACAAGAGAAGGATATACAGCTGAAGTAACATTCTTGAAAAATTCTCGAAGCTGCCAGTCAGCTGGTTCAATGTTCGTACGACCTAGACGGATGCGAAACCTGTTCATCGTGTAGCAGCAAACTTCGAGAGTCATCTGTTTCGAATCGCGACAGAGTATCCGACGAGACCTACTCCTTATGCTCCAAAAGAGAGGAGAGATACTTGTCATCATAATAGCAATCCACTCGGCTTCCACTACTCGAGACTAGCAAGTTAGGAGAGGATCGGACAGCTATCGTGTTTCTAAACGGAAACGATCACCTAATTTCCGACCCATCGAGCCCGCAACGGCGTACCGCCGAATGTGTCGATCGAGGTAAAAGTACGTGTCGTTTTGAAGGGTACGATCATACGCACGCTGGCCCACATAACAGTGAAAGGATCGAGGAACGCGAGCGACGCTGGGCGGAACGTGCTCCGACGGCGTCGTTCTTTGATTCGTCCTCCTTTTTTCTCTTGTTCTCTCTCCTATGGAGTCGCGTTTCTAGGGCACTTATTTACACGGTGCTCGAACATTCTGCTCGTTCTTTCGTTCCCTCGAGTGTGGCTCGTCGATCGAACGAAAAGCGGCGCTTGGAAATTTATCGAAACAGACCGGATTCCGGTGAACGGGGGGGATCGGGGATCGACGACGAGAGGCAGAGAGCGAGAAGAATGTTCGAGGTGACACGGGCGCGCGAATTAAACGAACATCCCGGCACGCGGTCTTGCCTCGAGACGCCGTCGCTTTCCTCCGGCCGAGCTTCCGTTCGGTTGTCTACTTGATCCGCGATACGTCTCAGTTGGCCACCTTCACGAATTCCGGATTGTGCACGGCACCGGTGTCCGGCGCGTACGTCGGATGCACGAAGCTGCTGCCGGTCATGTTGATATTCTTCCGGTCGACGGCCCGCACCCTGACGAACAGGAACGCGGCCACCAATGAGGCCACCACCACCACCAGCAGGAGCATCACTAGGCCACCAACGAAGCCCGGCAAGCTCATGCAGATCGTCTCCGGGTCCGACGACGCGCTAGCGTTCTGGATCACCACCGTGGTGTCGTTGCTGGTGTTCGTCGTGCCCAGCGCGAAGTTCACGTCTCCGGGTGCCACCACCTGGATCGTCCTCGAAGTGTTCACGTCCGTCATCTCCTGCGCCGCCCGCTTGAACAGCATGTGGCTCGAGACTAGAGTCACGGTTCGGTAGATATTCTGCAAAAGTTACGTGGACGGTCAGATCAGGTTCATAGGATTTTGAGCGATCCTGCTACTCGTGGTGAGTCATGGAATGTGGGAAATATAGCGGCTGAAGGAGCTATGTTGGCTTCTTTTGCTTCGAAACGATTTGAAACTGTTTCGTGTTATTTATTGTTGCAGCCTGGTTATGCTAACTTTGAATCTAATTGTGCTTGTAGCGTCCGGGTAGTGTGTTGTGTGTGTGTGCATAGTCTGCGTGTACACTGTACAGCAGAGGTGTCAAACTCGAGGCCCGAGATGAACATTTTTGATGTCAAGTATCAGGACGTAAACGATAATTTAACTTTATATATGTTTATTACAATGTACTAGTCGAAATAAAAATATTTGTTTCTATGAACATTGATTTTTTTGTTTTGCGGCCCACCTAAAGTTAAGGATTGTTTATTTGGCCCAAGTTAGCTTTTGAGTTTGACACCCCTGCTGTGCAGATAACAATTAAAGAATCATATTTAGCGTGTTTTCGTTAGCATTGTCGTACAAACTGCTCTTGGACCGCAATAATATGTAGCTTAACACTATGCCATCCGGTGGTACCACGCTGGTGCCATGCAAAAACTATCTGTTGTATGCCGGTGGTACCACTTTGGTGCATTGTGCTTATTTAACCAAGAATTAAGTACGGAAATTCTTGGATGACTTATCTTAATTTTAGGAATTTATATTACCGCCACCTTCGACAATTTTTTTAAAATCTAACATTTCCAAGCTATTATGCCGGCGTCAAACAAAAGTATCATATCTAAGATCTGCGGACGGCATAGCGTTAAGTAGAGACTCTAACTTTTAAAGTCTATATTAATATATGACATATATAAACACTATGACATATAAATGATTGAAACAAACAGAGATCTGTTCGCGGAGTATCATGATCATTAAATGTGTAAGCATAGATGGAGAACCGATGGATTGTATTCTACCTTGAAAAAATATAAAAGTGTGTTTGCATTTTTTCCCAAGCTATTATGCCGACGTCAAACAAAAGAATCATACCTAAGATCTGCGGACGGCATAGCGTTAACTAGAGACTCTAACTTTTAAAGTCTATATATATCAATCATTTATATGTCTTTTAGCCAGCTGAAAAATTCGCCGACATTGAATTTCATGAAGAATCTCAAAAAGCAGACCGTAAATCATTCGAAAGACAAAAGCATCGATAACAAAGAAATACATACACGCGTGCGAGTATCGACATTTCACACTGAAAAAGTTGAAAGAGCTGGGGAGCTACAGTGTTAGAGGATGGCATTCGGATGACAATATAGTTTGGAGATTTATTGGGACTACGGATATTTACTGAGACTACGCGGATATTTATTGGGAACACGGATATTTACTGGAACCACGGATATTTATTGGAAAAAAGGATCTTTCGTCGGGTAAAGGGTATCGATTACTTACGGAATCATCGTCTTCCAGGTGTCCATGACTGTCGGACCTTCGCCTTCTGGCACCCCTAAGCTCGGCTGGAAAACCTTCAACCGACCTCGGCCGACCTCCGAGGGTGGCTAGGTTACCCTCGTGCTCCTCGGAACCGGCGGTTCCCTTTCTCTTCACGGTCTGGTAGGCCGCTGCCGGGTGGCCAGGAAGAGGAGGTGGAGGAAGGTGAATGTTATCCTGCGGACTTTGTGGCGAGCTGCTGGCCGTCGCGTCACCCGTCGTCGAACTGGGCGAGGAGGATGAGGTTTGCGCTTGTGGGGCTGGTACTACGTCCGGATTCGGCTCGCTGTTGGGGGAAAATATTGACTTTGTATTCGGAATAAAATTGAACTTCTGAAATAACGAATGCTGTAGTGCGCCGCGTAACTACGGTGAATTTTGACGCTCGGATTGTGCACAAAAATGGACAATTTTGGAAGAGGAGATACGATTATTCGAGCATTGCGAGCCTTGTTAACGATTGCCACCAGCTATAAAAAGCCGCAAGGCTCGAATAATTGTATCTCCTCTTCCCAAATCGTCCGTTTCTATGTACACTCTGAGCGTTATTTAAGGAGAAATTATTTATATATTTATTATATATTATATATTATTATTATTATTATATATTATATTATATATATTATTATTATTATATATTATATTATATATATTATTATTATTATATATTATATTATATATATTATATATTATTTATTATATATTATATTATTAATTATAGTTATTATATAATTTAAGGAGAAAAATAGCGTCGTAGAAATTATCAAATGTTCCGAGCCTTTCAGCAGGAATACAGAAACACCCTTCGTACGAGTTGGCAGAACATAGTAAGCCGTACGCTTCGACAACACTTATCGTAAAGATGCAAAGGGACCCAAGAAATGTCAGTTTATGATAAAGTTTGCTAACGATAATTTAGAAAGCAAATATAATTCAAAGCAACGTTACTTAAAGATCTAAAGAATTTACGTTTGATCATTTTGAATGTGTACTATCGTTTAACCTTCATGTTTAACAATATCATGTTATCACTAGTGGTAACATGATATTGACTTTGTATCAATAATGATGACTTGATGTGAAATTCAATTTGATATCGAGCCATCATTCATCGATATAGGGTCAATTTGGCTTCAAATCATCGCTATTGGTTTGGAGTCAATATGACCTGAAGTCACCATTATTCACACAAAATCAATATGCCATCAAGTCATTATTATTATTGTAGTAATACGAAGTCAATTTGACATACATTATCACTCTAAGGTTAAAAGAAGTTCATACAATACTAATAAAAACGTATAACTGCAAAAAACAATAAATCTATAATAAAGGAAAGAATCCTTTAATCATAATCCTAATTTATCTATCTCCTATTAATAAAGACAAAATTTAGTAAATAAATAAAGTTCAGAACAGAATATTAATATTCGCAGATCCTATAAAGATTCTTGTAACAAGCAAACAAATGGATATTCTAATAATTACCAAACATGACCCAATAAAAAGATGAAATATAATTAAGAAAAGTTCAGTCACTGCGTTAATATCCAAATTCGAAATTCCCTTTCATGTCTCACCTGTAAGCTCCAGCGGGTCCGCTAGGATGCCTAGGGTCCGCAAATGCAGGTGGTACTCCGTATTCAGGTACCGGAGGTGCACCGTACTCCGATCCAAGACTCTGGTGCACCGCTGCACCGTACTCCTGGCTCAAGCCTGCAGCTGGAGCACCGTATTCTAGGCCAGGATGTCCGCACTTAGGTTCCGGACAATTGTAGCGACAGACTTGAATGACACACTGGAAGTGAACGTTCATGCTGTCGGGGAACTTGAAGGCTTGGAAGTAGGCGAAACTGACGACCGAAGCGCTTGGCCCGAAGTTCTTTATCTTCTGGAACCTGCGGAAATTTGCGAAACTTGTTAATCTCTCCCTATCGACATATTATTTAAGAAATGTAATCGTTCAAATTCTTTGCCTCTGATTTCACAGGATAAAATATATATATATATATATAACTATATTATATTATTTAACATAATATAATTATGTTAAATATATATAATTATGTTAACACCCGAAAAGGGATGATTCCTGAGTTAATTTGAAGTAACTTTTTCCTTAGCGAAAATGCAATCTACGGCTTTGCTTTCGAGTTATTAACGAAAAATAGTGGCCAATGAGAGGCGAGATCAGCCGGTGCGAAGCCCAGTTCCGCCGATTGTCTCGGCCACTTAGCGCTAGGCGAGCTCGCCTCTCATTGGTCAGTGTTTTTCGTTAATAACTCGTAAATAAAGCCACGGATTGCATTTTCGCTAAGGAAAGTGTTGCTTCAAATGACCTCAGGGATCACTCTTTTCCAGGCGTTAACATAATTATGGAACACTCTGTATATTTTTATTTGTTCAATGCTTGTTGCATAAAAATATTAACACAAATATTGTCTTTCAAAGAAAAGATGTTTTCGTTTTACTATATTCTAAAAGCACATAATTGCCATAAATGTGAGAAATAAGTATCTTGTCTGCGTCAAATTAACGCCTACACCTGTATTATCTCTCATACTAAGTACAACGTAGATCTAACTGTGACTGTTATGAAAGCGTCGAAAACATCCGGCTTTAGATGATTCCATGTTAGTTATAGAACTAGAGAGAATTAGACCAAGAAGTTAATCGATTGCTTCTACGCGATCGCTTTCTACCACGAAACCATTCGTCATCGTCAACGCGTTGAATCGAAGTTACTAAATTAGAATTAGAATTATATTATTCTATGATCCTTCGAGTTTATATAAATTGTTTATTTATCACAGGATTTGATTCGTTCAAAACGAAAATAAATAAACCAAAGTCAAAGCAGCAAAGACTTATTTTCGACTTATCAAAATTATTCAGAGGAAAAATCCAGTTTTATATAACTTTCATTGCTCACAATTGATTTCAACAATTTCTTTTTTGCGTAAAGGTCCACGATCTAATTACAACCTTATCGGAGTCTTTATCGAAATCCGCATACAAATTTTTACTGTCTTCAATATTTTCATATTAATTAATATATCCCTTCACATGTAATAAGCTTAAACACATTGTACTATAGCGCACCTTTCGAAGATACGAATTTTTTAAGTCTATGTATACTATTACTGCAGATTTTCATAAGCACCGTAAAAGGGTTAAAAGTTCTGATTATAGATCACATTTAATCCCGAAGAAGTACGTTTTTTCAGAATAACTACAATGGAACCTCGATTATTCGGGCTAAGTAATGTAACATGAACGTTCGAACGATAAAACGATTACCTAATTACAGTGCCAGATCTCATTTTTGTTAATACGTACAGTAAATCGTTCCGTACACGAGTTACGATATCAGATGTTCTACTGCGTTCATCTAATACCTTGAACATCCTCAGCAGATGCACACGGGAAAACTGATAAAAAACAAGACTTTCTAATAAACCGTCCCCGATTTCGCTTACCTCGACATAATCTTCGGCCTAACGACGCATCCGTACTGATCGACGAGCTGGATAGGTGCCCTCTTTCCGTCATGAGCGACGCAGTTCCTCACCAGCATGTCAAACTTGTTCTCGTCGTCCTTGATGGCCAAGACCATGGTCATGGTCTGGCCGATCTTAACGATGCCGGACACCTCGCTGGCCCAGGGTCCCTTGCCGACCTGTATCTGCATCCAGCACTGCAGATTGTCGCCGAGGAAGTTCGCGGTGACGGCGTGCAGCATATCGACTTGGAACGGCCTAAATGTCACCGCTTTCTCGTAGAAGTCGTACCACGTGCAACGCAGCTTCCTCGCCTGATCCCAGACCTCCTGCACGTACGGGTCGTATTGCACGATTATCGTGTTCTCCACGTAGCTGCCGGACGGCGTCGGGGCGCCGTAAGCCGCCACATTGTGATTCGCCGAGGAGCTCATCCCGCACGAGTTCAAGAAGATCTCGAACGTCGCGCTCAGATGCCCCGTGCCGGGCTTCAGATGGACACAGTGAGGATCCGAGTAGAAGCCCTTACTGAAGATCATCCCGTAGAAGGGACGGTCGAACTCGATGTTCACTCGCATGTGCGTCTTCTCGCATTGCACCTGCAGATGCTTGATTTGCGGCGTGTCCGGGGACGCGAGCGGCCAATTCTCTTCGGCTCCGTGCGTTGCTGGCGGACCATACTGAGCTGGAGCCCCGTACACCGATCGGTGCTCCAATGGCAAGGCACTGCTGTCTACCAATGGCGCCTGGCAGTGCACTCTCTGTAACATCGAATCGGTGTTCATTGGTATTTGACTCGTCCGATTGTTCGGACCGTCGATAAACGGTCTACTAAAGAGTAGGCTCTTCGTAAAGTGTGTTAGGATGGCCGGAAAGAGATTATTTTTTATTTGAACACGTTAAGCGCGGCGTCAGCCTCGGGGGATAGACAGCGTACTTCTCGTTCGGGCGACATCAGTTTCCAGGGACTGACAGCGAACCTATTGTTTGGACGATATCGACGCATGAGACCGGCAGTACGTTTATCAGATATGCATATTAATTTTTTATGTTTCACACTCTTTCATTTTGCTATTTTTATTCGACAGTTTTATATAAGAGACTAATATTGTATAAATATATGATACAATGTTTCCTACATTTTTTAAAAAGAGAGATCATACGAAACGTTTATATGTTGAATCAAAATGACATTGCGAAGCAAGTATACTACATGCAATAAGCAAAATTAGATTTGTATTGAATAATTTTTCACTCAACTGAATAAATGTTTTTTTGAGTTATATATATATAGGTCATAACGTATAATTAAAATATAATAAAAATATAAAATATAATTAAAATATTTACTGCTGAAAGTGTGATGTCCTCAAATTATTCGTAAATTAATTTTCCTGCGAACGAAGTATTCATCGATGACAAGAAGAGATGACCACCTATTTAAATTTCTAAAACCCGGCGGGAATAAATGATGTGCATTTACCACTATGGCTAACAACAATCGATCGTGGGACGAGTCGAGTCAAGCTCAAAATAGCTGTGGTCGCTTTTGCGGTACCGGGCCATTCAGGATGACCGAAAACGATTACGGCCACGTTAATAATTTGAGAAATATTACAATAATTGCGGCACACTTCCGTCGGGAAGCATCTATACAATTGTTGCGCGCGGTTTAATTATGTTTAGATTAAATGCGTCTGAACTCGTAATTCGCAAACCATGAAACCGCATCGAAGAGTACAATGATTTGCTGGCTATGATTTCAACGGGCCACTTCTGCCGCGATATATTCGTTAGTTTCCTAATAACAGGAAATTGTTTATACACTCGCATCGATTGTTATCTATACGAATTTCGATTTAGAAATCAAGACGCGAAGTAAATACGAAATTATCAAATAATATGCTGTGTTGATTGTATTAACGCTAGATTTACGGAATCCGTCAAAACGACGGGTCACTAATTTTTTAATTTACGATTATTCATATCGTAATGATACATTTATGAGTTGTTTATCCAATTTATATGTTACTTATGGTAAATATATGATAGTTTGCAACATATAATCATACGAAATCGAAGAACGTTTAATTATATATCAAGATTCTGAAGATACGATATTTACGGCAAATGTTACAATAACATCTATTAAAAATCAGAATAAATGTCTTATTGTTACTTTTATAAACTAACATAAAACAGCTGTTTTTTGTGCTCCATAAATCTAGGGTTAATGTTAAATCGTGTTTTGTTAGTTTTCAAGGTTTCATAATTCTCGCAGTTTTTTTCACAAAAGTTTTACAAACATTGGGCAGTCAATAAATAGAATTATTAAAAATCACGCAAACACAGTTGAGATAATTTGATAAAACAAATTGAAATTCTGACGACTGAAACATATGCAAGCAAGTATTCCATAAACATTTCAAACAAGTGAAAAATATGTTCGTTTGTTTCTTAGTAACGAGAATTTGTTTACGTACTCGTGTCAACTATTTACTCGACATTCTTCATCTTTCAATTTGAAGATCAAGACGTAAAGTAAATACGAAATTATCGAATTGTGCGCTGTTGATTCTAATGTTTAAATGTTTTTGTTAGTTTGCAAGGTTTGATAATTCTCAGTTTTTTTCATAAAAGTTTTATAAGCATTCAACATCCAAAAATTAAGAATACGTAAAAATCATAAAAACACGGTTCAGATCAGAGACTGATACCCGTATACGTTACAAAAGATGAGCGCGGAGGCGCCGCAATCATCAGTCATGCTGCTGCTTCTGTACGATCGATTGTTGTAACATTGTAACAGAACCTAGGGCTCAAACCGGTATTATACCGGTAAATATTTCCGTATTTTTACCGGTATAGACATCGCATGCCAGTATACATATATTCCAGTCGCATACCGGTAATAAAACCGATTTTCCAAATAGCCGTTACGTCACGACAATATGGAAACAAATACCAGCATAACACCTAAATGTTGAAATATTTCGGTTTTCAGTCTGTTTGAGATACTTTGATCAAACAAATTAAAATTCCGACAAACTGAAACATATGGGAACAACTATTCCACAAATATTTATATATATATTATATATATATTATATAATATATTGTTATATATATTATATAATATATTTATCATTTTTATTAATTATATAATATATTGTTATATATATTATATAATATATTTATTATATATTTATAATATATAACAATATATAACAAATAAAAAGTACATTCGAGTCAAATTGAAAATTACAGCAGCGATAGAATGCCAAAATAAAAACGGTTGAATTAGTTAGTAAAACAAGTGTTCGATTACGTACGGAAAATTATAAACAGTATAACTACTTTCATTGAAGCTATTCACGTTAACTGTTCAAGGCCTGTTAACACTGTAGAGGTAAATGAAACTCGAACGACCGTTCGTCGCACTCGACTCTAATTACTCCGGCCATTTATTCAAAGACGCAAGAGGGTCGTTCGGGAACGAGGAAGGAAAGTGCGAATAGATCGGCAAAAAAATCTGTCTCTTCCGTAATTAAATGCCGCAGTTTCGCGGCTCGGTCCGTTTTCAAAGCGCCGCGCGGCCGCCGGGAACTCCGGAATGCCGAGAGCGCCGCGGGACGTTGACGAACGATGTCGCAATCGGATCTGAATTTAATAGAAAGGAATCCCCGACAAGTCAGGCTTTAACGGAGAACGTACGAGTTCACGATCGTCGAGTGCCCTTTTCAAAGCCCACCGCACGTATGCGGACAGGCAATTCAACCGGCTGCATTTCGAAAGCCCCCTCCGGTAAGAGTCATAACGGCGAGCCGACCGAAAATTATGGACTCGCAAGACGGCACCGGAAAATGAGAAACGCTTTGTCGCCGCCGCGTATTTTATTTTTCTTCCCTCCCCAACAACGTTCCTACGTTTCCTTTCCCATTTTTCTCCTATCCTTTTTCGTTTTCATTTTACGACATCCACGAAACGGAACTGTCGCGTCGCTCTCTTTAGAGGCACGACGAACGACGACGAGAACAGATACAAAAAGAAGCTAAGCCGAGTCTCGGTTTCACATTCTATGACACTTGTATAGATAAAAATTCGAATGCTTTGGAAATTCATGTTTCTCTGGAAGACGTTAGAGTAGCGGTGCTAGTTACTGTGGGCTAACTAAATACCGTGCTGTTTGTTTATTCTCGAAGCACGATTAACTTTATTTTTATCATATAAGACATATTACATTTTTTTTATTCTCATTCGATTAATTATTTATTTATTGGAATTAAATATATGTGAAAATTCTTTAAAGAATTCTTGAAATACCACGAAAATTGTTTCAACTTTTTGGTACAGCGTTCGCGAAATTTTCTGTAAAGCTTCTGAGAAAGATTTAAAAAATGCTGAACAGTTGGAGATCGATGTTCATTAAAATAAATCGTTAAGATTGCACAGTGTTAATTGTATTGGTAAAACGTATTACGATTATGAAAAAACAATGCAATTGCTATTTGAATTTTTGTATTCATTTATGTTTATGGTATTGCGTTTGTTTACCATTTGTTACAATATCGTGAGTTATTAAAATTATATTACTCATATTAAAATTATATTATTTATATTAAAATCGTATTTTATATATATAATACAATTTATATATACAATATATATATATATATATATATATATATATATATATATATATATATAAAATATATATATATATTAATTATTATATTATATTNTTTGTTTACCATTTGTTACAATATCGTGAGTTATTAAAATTATATTACTCATATTAAAATTATATTATTTATATTAAAATCGTATTTTATATATATAATACAATTTATATATACAATATATATATATATATATATATATATATATATATATATATATATATATATAATATAATTATATATATTAATTATTATATTATATTATATATTATTATTATATTATATAATATTAATATATTATAAATATATATATAATATAATTTGATTGATTACTATATCAATCATGTGATCTTGCTAATTGTAACTATTAAACGAACTGAATTTATTCTTTGGACTTGTTTCCGGTAAATATGTGACACTCGGTCAGTTTCATTTAATTTATTATTACAAATGGTCAAACGCAGTCCTCTGAATTAATAACTTTTCTCTCTTTCCTGATTTCGCGTCGCATCCACTGCCAAGAAATTAGCGACGATGCTAGCAACGATTACACTATTTTGTATCGTTTCTATACTCTCCAGTTGTCAACAATTATAAAAACAAGCCACGTGGCTCGAGTAATTAATACGAATAATTTACTGTATCGTGAAACAATGACGAGATTGAGTTTATTTGAACTTCACACGACTTCTGCTATAATATGTATATGCTTAATTGAAAAAGTTTATTCAAAAGTTTCTCATACATGCATTTTTAACAGATATGATTATCGAGCCTCGCAGCTCATTTCTATAATTGCTTACAATCGGCGCCTATAAAAACGAGCCGCGAGACTCGAATAATTGCATCTCCTCTTCCCAAATCGTCCATTTCTGTTTACAAACCAAGGTACGGTTGAAGAGAATTTATTGTATACATTAGTCGCGTTTAGGTCTCTGTAGCTCTAGCGTTAACATTATCTAACTGGATTAATGTTGTTAAATAGAGGCTTTTAGTTTCATGTAATTAGACTTTTGTACAAAAAACAGGCATCTGTCGACTAATCACATGAATGCATCAGCGTCCGCAGTCTACATCCGGCC